CCTAATTATCCTTCAGTATTCTGTTTAAATTAAGCTCTCCCTAATATGCTAACCCACTGCACATTGTACTTTTCCTCCATGACCCACTGCATTTATAATTACTTGTTCCATGTTCGTCTTCTCCACTAAACTATAAATTCCATGAGGGCAAGGATTTGGTCATTGTTACACCCAGAGCACTTAACAAAGTGTCTACCAAATAAAAGTTGCTCCATTAATACTTGTTGAATAATGAATGAATAAATGATTCTTCTTAAAAACAATCCCCTCCTAACTATGAATATATTTGGTCCTTTTCCCAAATTGTTCCAGAGACTCACCCACCACTTGATCAGTTGTGATTGCTTCCAGGTTGGCCCGCCCTTACCTTATTAGTTTGTAAAATTCTTGCATGAAATGCAGCTGGCCAGGCGTGAAGCAACAGGTAAGCATAGGAGCGAATGGCATAAGCTGGGGAATACTCCCAAGTCTGAAACCCCTTCCCATAGATGAGGTAGTGTGTCTGAAAGTACAAAACGGATGGATTCAGGGTTATATTGGCCAAAAATCCTTGTTAAGAGGATGCAGGTGAAGTTTCTAAGCAAAAGTATTAATGAGACAAAGGTACACAAAAAAGCTGAAATTCTCAATAAGATTTGCAACTAATGGATAAGAATCAAAATGACCCAATACTGAAAAATATTAAGACATTATAAATCCTACAAGATTATTGTTTGGCCAACATTGAAAGCTTGAATTTTACCCTCTATTTATTTTTTTAAAAATACTCATTAACCAAAACAGGAAAACTCTAAATCTTGTATTTTCCTTAAACTACCTACCCTAAGCATTCCTTATTTTTTATGCAAAATGTGATCAGAAAATTTCACCTCTGCATTTCCTATAACAGGGAGTCCAACAAACTTATAGAAGTATAAATCAAGAAACAGCAATATAAGCATAGTATGTAGCAACATTGTTTATTTTATTAAACATCAGAAGAAAAAAACCAAAAATGTTTAAAGAAAGTGGTTGCCTCTGGGGACAAGGATTTGGCCATGAGAAGTGGAACAGGGAGTTTCTGCTATTCTTTTACGTTTAATATTTTTAAACTACCTCAAAGTAATATTTTGACTTAAATTTTTAAGAAAATTACAAATTACACCTTTTTTGTATAACAGCAAATTCCTATATCCTTCAATAGGAGGTAAATCATCAGTTTAGAATACAGAAATGAAAATAAGGTTATTTTACTAATAGTCACACTTGTATATTATTTGTATCTTGATTCATAACAAGGTTCCAAGCAGTGAAATCAAGAACAAAAAAACTAAAGAAATCACCTACTGGTTCCCAGTAGTTGAATGTTTCATCACAGTCAGAGATGTTGCTGAGGAGAGCAGCACATAACCTTGCTGAGAGCAGACACTTGAACGCAGTAGATCCTTCAGGTGCCCAGACTTGTCCTGCTTTGTTCCCAGATAACCTGCTCAGAAGCAAAAAAAAAGTATGTGTCAGAAAGGACCTGCTAACTAGAAGGGCTAAAACTAGACAGAAAGGACAACAAGTCAAGAGACACCAAAGCACATGAGTTAGTCACCTAAAAGGGTGAACCGTTAATTGTCCTGAGTAGAATAAATAAGGAACGAATTAAGACCTTAATCAACGTTAGTCATTACTTCCTGCTTTTAAGGTGTAAGCTAATTCATGCACTTCAGTTCTTTGCATCTATGACACTCCGCTTACCCCAAGCCAACAAATCGCTCACTTACAGGGCACAAGCTCTTATTCGCCTTTTCTTTATTCTAACAAGGTCATTACTTTCCATGGCTTTATTCATTTCCCCATCTGTTCAAATGCCCAGAAGCTAACTTGTGCAGTGGACATCACCTTTTCCAATTCCATATGCTGACAGCTCCCCAGCGCAGGCTTAACCTGCAGCCCTCCGGCTTGAAAAGAGAGGTGTTTGCTGGTGTGCAAGGTGGTGGGGCCCACACAGAAGAGTAAAGGGTCGGGACTCTGCGAGGACTGAAGGAAGCTGGGAGAGACAGCCGGAAAAGGTACTCTCTGCTCTCGCCTGCGTCCCCCACGGCGCCTCGGCCACACACACACACACACACACACACACACAGCGACGCCAGCCCACCCTGGGCCTGGGCCGGAAGCCGCACAGACCTGCAGGGTTTCTTCACTAGCAACACGGGACCCGAGCTGGGGTATCTAATGTAAGGCGGGTGAAGACCCAGCGTCCACCCGCCCTGGAAGAGCAGAAAGAGCAGGGTGAAGAGGCTGCGGGCCCTCCCGGCGGGAAGGTCGGGCAGGACGCAGCACAGCACAGCGCGGGCGAGACCCTCTACCGGCAGCCCCGCGCCGCCCGCCGCCCGGCCACGCCCCCGCCGCGCCCGCACACCTACTCGGACCGGGGCTCTGCGCTGCCCGCCTCCCGGCTGCACAGCAGCTCCCGCAGCTTGTCGGCGGCCGAGGTCGTGTCCCCGCCGCCGCCCCCGCTTCCCTTCAGGCGCTGCCGGGCTCCTCGGCTCGCCATGGCAAGAGTGGAAAAAAAGGTAGAACTCGGCGCCCTACGAAGGCGACGAGCGCGGAGACATAGCCTTTGGCTGGCAACGGTGTCCGCCGAGGGACAAAAGACCTCGACATGCGCAGACACGACTAAATTATAGTTTTCTGGGCTAATTGGGGCAAATCCCTGGGTAGAAAAGAAATGCGACCTGAGACTTTACTTGGCCGTTATAGCTATCCCTTCCACATACTAGTAACTCTAGGCATGCCTCCCTCCCTCTCTCTCTGCCTTCACTTCTCAGCATTCTGCACTCTCCTACAAATACTGTCCTTCAGCATCCCTGTTTAAAAGAAAGCACAAATAGAGAGTAATTCCACCGAGTACGCAGATATTCAGTTAAAAATCATAGCACAGTCGCCTACAAAAGAGGAAGTTCTTTAAAGATCACTGGCACCTTGTCCTTTATATTTTGGCAAGTGATAGGGACAGCCTGCAGCTAATTAACTGCTTCAGAGAGATGAAGCCATAATGGCAGAATACAGAATGAGAAGAAAAGTGAAAGACTTGAAGAAACTCTGTGCAGCAAATTTAACCAGACACCAGTCACTGCCATTGCTACTACAGCATTATGGTAAGCATTTAATATACCTTATCCTTTTAAAATATAATACAACAACCTTGTTTTATCAAAAAGGAGACTGAGGTCCAAGGTTGCATAGCTAGGAAGTGATGGAGCCATGTTCCAACCCAGGTCTTACTACAAAATCCATGCTCTTCCAACCAGGAGATCAGGAGAAAGCTCTTGATTTCACACAGGCATTTTTACATGGGCACTTTGATGATATCATGCCTGTGACTCTCAGAGGTCATTCATCTGTTCCTGATACTCTGCCTACTCCCCCAATCACAGAGCTCTATCTCACCCTGTGAAGCTCTGTACCAGTAAGTAAAACAAGGTTATAGAGGGAGTGCTAAACTTGACAGGGTCCCAAGTTATGACTTCATATTAAAAATTCCTGAGTATTAACAATGGAGATTGATCCTATTGCTCAATTCCCACATGAAATTACTAGTTGCCAAATTCAAACATCTCAATGTAACTATATCTCATACAGCCACCTCCTTTTCATTTCACTCTAGTGCAGGCCCCTCCCTGACTCTACCCAAGTCTACTACAGTAGCATCCTTACAGGGATCTCCCATCTCAAATTAATCCTGTGCAATACTGTCCAATTAATTTTCAAAAATACTACATCCCTAACCTACTTTTCTTATCTCCCACTACTTTCCTATACACATTTTATGTTCCAACTAGCCTGTAAAGTACCCCAAATGCTCCCATATCTCTACCTCTGCTCATGTATGCCCTCTGCCTGGAATGCATGCCCTCCTTGCCTAACAATCCTTCCATCACAACCCTGCCCTTGTTTTAAGATCCAGCTCAAATGATACCTCATCCAAGTGATACCAAACCAAAATTGGGTCTGCTCACCTACACACAGAAAAGCCAATGTACTGACACCAGGTTGTGCTGAGGCAAAGTACAGTGTCTATAGCAAGGAGAAGAGGCAGCTTATGCTCAAAAGACCTAAACTCCCTGAAGCTTTCAGGGAAGGTTTTTTAAAGGCAAGGTGAGGGAAAGAGTTGAGGTGTGCATGATCAGCTCATGGACATCCTTGATTGGTTGGTGATGAGGTAACAGGTTGGTATTTCAGGGGTCAACAGCATCAACCTCCTGGGGTCTTTGTGCTGGTGATCAGCATGCAATTAACTTCTTCCACCTGGTAGGGGTTTAGTATCAATAAAACATACAAGGATATGGCTCAGAATATTATCTATGGCCCTTGAGGAGGAACTAAATGTACTTGACTTTTATGGCTAACCTACCATAATTTTGTCTTACATGACTGTTTTCCTTTGTTTCTGCATTTTCTCATTTCTCAGGTTAAATCTGCTCTTTGGTGGACTTCCCTAATGGTACAGTTGTTAAGCCTCCGCTCTTCCATTGCAGCAGACGCAGGTTCGATCCCTGGTCAGGGAATTAAGATCCCGCAGGCCACGCAGCCAAAACAAAAACAAAAAACAAAAAAACTACTCTTTAGAGTTCGGGGAAGGCCTAGGAGGCTAAAGCTTTTCTGCAAACAAGAGGCGGGAGACTCGGAGAGGGTGGGGGAATCTGTCTTCAGGAAGGCCCTGCAGGGTCTGCTTGGTTTCACATGTACCAGGCACTACTGGGGATGGAAGAAAGCTATAAATCACATTACCTGCCCTCGAGTAGCTTTAAGTCTATGTGGAGAGCTAAGCAATACATATGTCCATAAGAGATCCCTTGATTCTTCACTCCCCAAACTTACTCCCATGCCAGTTTTCCTATTCTGATTAAAAACACTTCTATTCTCCCAGTTGCTTGGGTCAAAAACCTAGGGATTCTGTTTGATTCCTCTATTTCTCTAACTCCAAAACATTCATGCATGCACATATATTTAAATCATCAGTAAGTTCTTCTAATTATTACCCAGTCCAAACACTTTTTACCACCCTGGTCCAGGTCACCATCATATCTTGGTTGCATTATTATAATAACCTCCTAATTTGTTTCTTTGCTTCAATTCTTGCCTTTCCACATGCTCTTCTCCAAATGCAAGAATAGACAACATATTAAATCAACTATACTTCAATTTAAAAAAATTTTTTTAAGGAATTAATAAGACAGTTATTTCCTTCACAGAGTTTACAATATAGCTCCAATTGGTGGAGCCTAACTATTAATTAACAGGAACATACATTAATGCACATTATAGCACCCCATTCTGCAGAGTCCTAGGCTGAGCCAATCTCCCAAAGTCCCTTAGAGATGCTTACAACAGAAGTCCCAAAATCTAGGGGGGAAAAGTGTAGAGTTAATCACAGTTCAGAGATTACTGTTGAAAAAACTATGGAAGGAAAAGTGAAGTAACAGAAAGTGGCAGAAAGAACAGGGACTTTTGAGTCAGACAGACCCAGGTGTGAGCTCTAAGTGAGACACTTACTTAGTTCCATGACTTTAACAGCAGTCAACCACAGAATAAACATGATGACGATACCAATAATACGGAACACTTGCAACTTTTACCCAAGGTAATAAATGCCGGTCTGTCTGACTCTAAAAACTATTCTCAATGATTTAGAGAGATGATATGATAGAGTTAAGGAAAGAGGAATTGACAATTCGGAAAATATATTTATAAATATATGACGAGACACTCAAATTCTACTGCTTCAGCATTACAGCATCTAGTGTATAAGATGCTGTTTTGTTTGTTTTCCTAGTCATTACTCATGAACAAAATATTGCACAACTCCAAAGGTCACCACTCACATTATAGTCTGTAAACTTTAAGTGATTGAGTCACAGATATCTTTAAAGTCAACCATAAGTAGCTATAGTCACAAAGTAAAAGATTAAAAAAAAAAAAAGTCTGGAAAGAACTACCGGTTACAAATTGGTCTTTTTCACCCACACCCGTGAGGATCACTACGTAGAGATGAATTTACTAAACTACCGAGGTATCACATGTAGTCGTTGTTGAATCTCCTTCCTTAGCTGGGACTGCATTGATGCTACCTGCTGCTGGGTGAGGGCCTTGTCACAGGTCTGGTAGGTCAATCTATAGCAGAGGCTGACCTGTTCCGTCTTTGGATGCTGAAAACGACTAAGGAATTGTATGGATATGACAGTGTCCTGTGACACTGCTCGGGCCACAGTGTGAAACTCTACTTCATCAAATCTTTTCTTTGTATCTAACCAAAAACTAACATCATGCACATAGTATGGAGGATATAGGGAATAGCTTTTAAAGGGTTCTATTTTCCCAGGGGCAAAATTCTTCAGGAAACGATTATCAAAGGTCCACAACATCCTCCAATCAGAGATACCCCAGACAAGCATGGCTAATAGGTCCAAGTTCATAGACACACACACAAAACACTGGTCTTTGTGTATGATGCTTGTAGCAGATGTGGTAACAGACCCAATAATCAAATCCTTAACACAATCTGGGCCAAAATTTTGAGACTTCACAGTAATCATATAATCTTCCCCAGGTGGTTGAAAGACAAATTCCACTGAACTGCCCAGCTTAGAGCCCTTGAGCAATGTCTGGGTCAGAAGGCTATCTAGAATGCCCTTCAGATGATCCAGTAGTGACTGAAGACAGCCATCCTTCAGATTTTTATTAAATCCAAGGATAAACAAAGTCTCATGAAATGCTGGCATTGTGAAAGGTGAGATGCGGCACTTCTGAAAGACAGGTCCACTGAGGATGTACAGAGAACCTGGGAGGAAGTCTGGTGCTTGGATTAGAGCCTGAACATGAACTAGAAGAGAAGGTCTAAGGCAGACCTTGGCCTGGCCATATGTTCCTTCCTGAGCTTCTTCCTTACTGTCTCTTCTAGGGTTCTTGGGAAGGCTGAGTTCTGAAAACGACACTAGAAAATCCTCCATGTCTTGTGTTGTCCCACCAGTGAGGGACTCAAAATTTGAGTTATCTTCATGGAGACTAATCCAAAAGGCAGATGACAGGATGTCACAGTGGCAGGAAGTGAGAACACTGGTGTCTCCCTGTGGCAGCAAAGGGGAAGAACACTTCAGCCTTTTTAGAGGGAAAGCTTTCCCCAATTCAGCAATGAGTTTCTCATTTATGGTTTTGATAGGATGATATGAAGGTGCTTCTAGGAAACCCCTGTTTAAACACACACAAAAATAAACTTTTTTAACTTAAAATTATTAATAATTATAACATAGCTAGAATTAAAAGCACAAATAGCTGTATAGAAAAGAATTATCCTTAAGTTGATCTGGAAAGGAAACAAAGAAATCATCTACCATAAAGAGAGATATCATGTGTTTCAGAACTCTGACAGCCTACAATAAACCAGAAAATACGACAATTTAAAAAAAAATTTATTAGAGTATAGTTGATTTAAAATGTTGTATTAGTTTCAGGTGTACAGCAAAGTGAATCAGTTATACATATACATATATCCACTCTTTTTTAGATTCTTTTCCCGTATAGGCCATTACAGAGTATTGAGTAGAGTTCCCTGTGCTATACAGTAGGTCCTTATTAGTTATCTATTTTATATATAGTAGTGTGGATATGTCAATCCCAATCTCCCAATTTATCACCCCACCTTATCCCCTGGTAACCATAAGTTTGTTTTCTACATCTGTAACTCTATTTCTGTTTTGTAGGTAAGTTCATTTGCACCCCTTTTTTTAGATTCCACATATAAGTGATATCATATGATATTTGCAGAAAATATGACAATTTTTAATTCTAAAGAGGCTTGTGCAGGCCAGACTGACAAGTATTCACAGCATGACATCATTAACAATTAATGTGGCATCCATTCAATGTATGGTTGCCTGATTATCAAGCCAATCAGGATACAACTAGAGATAGAAGTGATTTCTGGTAAAATCAGGTTACCTGTTCAGCTTTCCTACAAGTACTTCTGGTTCTAGAAAAGAAAACCACTGGTCACCCAGTTTGATCCTGGAAATTCTTGGTTGCAAACCTTCATAGGGTAAGCTCCGGGTAAAGATATGGTTCAAAGCACCTTCTACATGAAAGGACTTATCTTGACTCCTGGCAAAATAGACAGCAATTATTAAGACTGTCATTATTAAAGAAAGCAAGTATTTCTAGAGACTGAATCAAGAAATAGACAAGGAAAAAGTATGTCTCTGAGATTTTTTTTTATCATCAGTGAGAGAGCTGGAAAAGGCTTAGAACTCTGTTATTACTTACCTATATCCAGTGCACTTGTACCCTGGCACAGCCTCACAGCTGAAGGGATGCACATCACTTAAAATGAATCCCCCTAGAGCTGCCATAGCAACCACTTGCCAACTGTTGTGCCATTCTCTCATGGGCTTATCAGCGGGAGTCCCACCTTGTCCTCTACACAATGCCACATGGACTTCTCCTTCCTCTGCAAGAACATCTGCACAGCTAACGGGGGTAGGGAAACACCAGCCGTTTATCAGAAACAAGTAGAAGTTACCATAGGAGTTAGCTGTATATATATGGTTTGGCTGTTAAATAGTTAAAATCAAATCATATCTATTTGCAAAGGTCTATTAGACTTCAAACATGCAAAAAAAAGTAGCTGGAAGTAAACAAGAATTTAAATTCAATGTTCAACTCATAACTGATACTAGTGGCTGACAACAGAGTTATCCAACGTTGTTTTTGTATTGTACATCTATATCTCATTGAAAAGTCAATGTCTGTAAAGTTCCTATGTGTGATTCAGCGATCAGGCTGTTCTTCCCCACTTAGAAAGTTGTTCTTTTCACTCCCCTCCTGCCTGTTAACTTAAAATACTGCCTCTGTGAAAAGTTTCATGACAACTATGAGCCAAAGAGACCTCCATTAGTATCATGTGTTATTGTATAATAGTATAAAGCACTGTTTTGCGTTCACAATAATTTTATGAGGTAGTTACTGTTGATATCTTCAGTTTATGGATGAGGAAGCAAAAGCAAGTAAGGATCAAGTAAACTTAATCCCCAAAATCACAAAACTATTAAGTGGTGGGTAGGGCTTTGAATGCAGGCAGTCTGGCTCCTAAATTAGACTATACTACCATCATTTCCCATTATCAAAAATAGATGATCCTCCCTTTGCCGGCCGAACAGTACATTATTAGTACTTTTATTTAGCATTTAGGGTTAAATGTCTGCCTTTCCAACTAGATTGTGGGTTCCTTTGGAGCATTATATTCTCTTGTACGCCATATTTCCCAGACTAACATGTTTGAGCGCAGTAACTATGTAATGTACCTCTTAAACATTTCACTTTTGAGTGCTCACCTCTGGAAAAACTTGGCAAGCAGTTCCCTGTTCTTAGCTACTCCAGCTTTGCGTCCACAGTGCGGAAAGTTAAAATAAATTCGATCAAACTCTCTGTCTTGCAGTTCAAAGGCATCTACCAGCTGGGTGCAGTCCACACCAAAGCGTACCTCGGTACCTGGAACGAAATATAGACAGAAGGATGTCTTAAGACCTGGAACGAGAGAAAACCCCTCCCTAACCTGAGCCATGCAAAACAACCCAGGTCTAGGCACACAGCAGGCTCTCTGTAAATGTCCACGTAAAGACCAAGAGCAACCCCCAGATTCCTTGAATCCCCACGTGCCCACCCTTTCCACTTTGGGCGGTGCCACAGCTGGGCGGGGCTTCACGGAGGGGTGGGCCTCGCTACCTCGCTCGCGCAGGCGCTGCAGATTCTCCCGGGCCAGCGGATCCCGGGCCAAGTCGGCCGGGCGCTGGAGGCAGGTGGCAGTTATACTGGTGCTCGGATCCAGGGTCTCGCTCAGAGCGGCGGCGAAGGAGAAATTCCCCTCCCCAACCAACAGGAGGCGCCGAGGGGCCATGGCCTTAACGTGCTCCCATCTCGCGTTCTCGGGGGCGCTCATTTTTACGTCACTTCCTTCGCCGGTTTCTTGCGGCCCCACCTCTTCACCCGTCGCTGGTTGATGACGCTACAGAGCGCCCGGTTGTCTTAACAGTCTGGTGCAGCAACATCCGAGGAGGAAAATATCCCTGAGTGCAAAAGCGATACGCCGACCGCCCCGTCCCCTCACTCCCTCACCCTATCGGAAGTGTTAAAATAGATACCTTTGGGCTTCACTGGTGGCGCAGTGGTTGAGAGTCCGCCTGCCGATGCAGGGGACACAGGTTCGTGCCCCGGTCCGGGAAGATCCCACATGTCGCGGAGCGGCTGGGCCCGAGAGCCATGGCCGCTGAGCCTGCGCGTCCGGAGCCTGTGCTCCGCAACGGGAGAGGCCACAACAGTGAGAGGCTCGCGTACCGAAAAAAAAAAAAAAAAAAAAAGATGCCTTTGAGCCCTGAGCGACTTCATCACACCTACATGAGGTCACAAGCAGTCACTAGTGCCGAGGGACAGGTCGAAGGTGAGGCGAGTTCTGAGTGAAGGAAGCAGGGCCGGGCTGAGGCCAAGAAGAGGTTGGGCTGTGTCCTGCATCCTGACACAGAGGATTTTCTAACAGCCTTCATCTCATCCGAAATGACTGCAACCCATTGTTACTGCTCTTCGGAATTTCTCCAGGTGCTTCTATTTCCTACCTTTTATTCATTCAAGAAATGTTGAGTGTCTGTTATGTGCCAGGCCTGTGAGAGCAGTTAGATATATGGAGGAACAAGATGTGGCCTGTGATTTCACCAAGCTTGTAGTCTGGTGGAGGATGCACAGCAAAAGAGGCAATTCTGATTTAGTGGGATGCAGTGCTATGAATGGAGTAATTCAGGGTGCTGTGGGAGCACACAGAGGGGAACCTTACCAAGTTTGGGGGTGAAGTGGAAAGATTCCCTGGATGAAGTGCACCTGGGTTGAAAGCTAAAGGGAGGAAAGTACACCTTACCTGAGTCAAGAGGAGTGAAGAGGCAGAAAGAACAATACATGCACAAGCATGATGGAAAAACACAACAGCTGAGTTTGGCTGAAATGTACTTTGAGGGAGAGTGGGTAACAGATGAGACAGAAAAGTTAAGCAGGGACCAGGTCATATAGACATTTTAACAACCTTGAACCTTGCTCTGCAAACAGTGGCCAGCCAGTGAAAGATTTTAAATAGGAAGATGACACAATTAGATTTTCATTTTCAAAAATTCTGCTTTCCTATGGAGAAATGATAGGAGGAGAAAAAGGCGGATGGCAAGGAGGTCAGAGAGAAGGCTACTGCAGTAATGGAAACTAGGCTGATAGTGATCTGAATTGGAACTTGGCAGTGGAGATGGAGGGTGGTGGACTGATTCAAAAATCAACAAGACCTAGTGATTGAGAATGGATGTAGGGAGTTGAAAGAGAAATCAGAGTCTAAGATAAGCCCCAGGTTTCAGACTTGGACAACTGAGTGGGTGGTGATGTCTGTCCTTACAGCCCCAGGGACGGTGTCATCTTGGTTTGCAGTCTGAGTACTTGGTCTGTTGGGCTTTGTAGGACCAGGTACTCTTTAGTCATCATGCTGTTTGTTGACATCATTGTGTGCATCTTTCTTCACAAAGGCACATGGTGTGAGAGCAGTTACCTTTAAACCTACAGTGTTGGCTTTGTCTCTACCTGTGGAAAAGTGGGTGGGTGGTGACTCCCAAATCATGGCCATCTGGTGATCTGGGTGATCTATATTCTTTCTTTGGTTGGAGAACTGGGAGGGCCAGGTTTGGTAACATCTCTTCCTTTAAAGAACATGGAACGGCAGAGTAAGGTTTTCTGTCACTCTACTATAAAATCTTCAAACAACTCAAGCTCCTCAACTTCAAATTACTCAGCTTCAGGGAAGGTATTGTCTTGCTCCTAAGCCAAGGGACCAGACTCATCTTTTAACCAAAAGTAAACATGGTTAGGCTTCTGATTACTTACAAAAAATTGAAATTCAGACATTGGCCATCTGGTATGTGCCAAGTACTATTGATTAGGAAGGTAAACAGAAGGAGAGGATACGGTAATGAAAAAGACACAGATCCTGTCCTCAAGGGATCAGTGTAGGAGATTCCACACTTCCTTGAAGAACTCTAACATATGGTATAAATTTATAAATATATAAAGATGTGAACATAAAGTTCTGTGTGAGACAAGTGAAAGAGAAGTTAACTTGAGGGAAGGCATCATGAAAAGGGAATGGCACATCCTGAGAAGTGACATTTGATCTGGACCCAGAAGGAAGGAAACTGTCATTTATTGATCATTTATTGTATTATCTAGTTATCCAACTCTCATTTCTTCCTGTTCCCTTTGACGATAGCAATACTCTTAGTCCTTAAATTCCTACATCTCAAAATTACCAGAACATTGTCTAGTTCTCCATATAGTATTGGGGGTACTGAAGTTCTCCTGTCTTTTACGGGGCGGGGGGACATTTAACCTATATAGTCACCTACTACTGCTGATTGAGAGGGCAGGTCAAAGGATTCATGAACTTGGAGAGAAAGAAACTGAACCACAACAATTAAACTGGGAGGAAAGCCTAGATTCTTAGAAGGTGTTATGCTTGGCGAAGGAAGAGAAAGGGAGGCCTTTTCTCCTCTCTGGTTTGTGCAACAAGCTTTTCTATTCCTGCCTTTTCCCAGAGAGAGTTCCTCACCTCATTCCTTACAAACCCACACTGTGGCAGCCTCATTAATGCAGATGGCCATGCTGAAGTGTGGACAGATTGGAATGATATGTCCAAGTTTTTCCAGTATGGATGGAGATGTACCACTAATGAAGATGCCTATTCAAACCGTACCCTCATGGGCAACTGGAACCAGGAGAGATATGACCTAAAGAATATCGTGCAGCCCAAACCCTTGCCTTCGCAGGTAATCGAACTTTCTCTTCTTTGTTTCCTTCTGTTAGAAAAGGAAATACCAATGACCATTTGAGAGTCAGGAATCTGATAACTTCCAATGCTGAGATCTCTCAGACTTCTGTCCATTGAGTGGTTGGGACAGGGCAACAGTCCTCAGCTGGATTGCCTATCCCACTTTACTATCAAGTTGACCATTATATTATTGTAAGGTAATGAAAGGATGGGTAGCATGCTCTTTCTCTTGCTTCTCTTTGGACTTCATCAATCTACAGAAAAAAATATATATATATAAAATGTCTTCTGACTCAGGGTAGCTTCTTCCCTGGTCCCTGCCTACCTAGACTTGTTGTTTATCTGCATCTTTCCCTTAAATCTCCTAAACAAACAAACCAACAAAGGATGTGAACATTAGTAGGATATAGGCTAATGACATATAGACTTATAGTCAATCTAAAATATGACACAGCCTGTTAGAATTCATGTCATTGTATCCTGTATTTCCCAGTATTGGTTATAGACTCCTGTATTTTTAATCTACTACTTTTTCTTTGCAGTTTGGACACTATTTTGAAACGACATATGATACAAGCTACAACAAAAAAATACCACTTTCAACCCATAGTAGGTGGACTATCCTTTTTTTTTTTTTTTTTTTTTTTGCGTTACGCGGGCCTCTCACTGTTGTGGCCTCTCCCGTTGCGGAGCACAGGCTCAGCGGCCATGGCTCACAGGCCTAGCCGCTCCGCGGCATGTGGGATCTTCCCGGACCGGGGCACGAACCCGTGTCCCCTGCATCGGCAGGTGGACTCTCAACCACTGCGCCACCAGGGAAGCCCTGGACTATTATTTTTAATTCTTATATTCTCAGGACCTAACTCAATGCTTGGAACATAGAAGGAACACAAATAAAAGTAAATTGAATGAGTGAATAAGTGAATGAATGATTTCTCTGTTTTCTCAATTTTGACATGATTCACTGTCTATTTCCTCACTGTCTATTCCCTCAGAAATAAGAATGAGATTGGTAACTAAGACTCCTCTTTTCTCTTCCTTCAGGGTTTAAGCGAGAGCCTCACTGGTTCCCAGGACATCAACCTGAGCTGGTTCCTCCTCCATACAAATGCACAGAAAAGTCAACTTACATGAGTAGCTATTCAGAGCCTCAAATTGAGCATCACTCTGTGTGTGTGTGGAATCCTAATAACTGCCAATTTCAGAGTCCATGATTCTAAGAAAGAATAAGGTTCATTCTTCCAGTGTAGAGTGTAGGAAGGAGCACATTCTAAGAACAACTAAGAATTTAGCTGACTGTAGCAATTTTACTCTCTGAATAAATAAAGCACAAAAAAATATTCTCTATTCCTTTTTTTTAAACCAAAATTTAAATGTCAAATTTAAGTTAATTATTTCTACTCTTAGGTCTACATTACGGGTGTTGTAGGAAGGCATTAAAAAGAATTATTTCTCTCAAATCTACAGCCACTCTGCTTTTCCCTGCCTTTCATCAGGGGCGGAACTGCAGAATCCATCATGACTTAGGATACATTTGGCTAGATGCTTTCTAGATGTGAGCCTGGTAGTCATGGTCAGATAGTTTACATTTACTGTGACCTTAATGAATATATCCCCTCTTAAGGACTAGAAAAAGAAAAATAACTGTTTTTATTATTATAGAAGATTTAAAACATACAAAAGTAGACAGAATAGTATAAAAAACTCCCATGTACCATTACCTACCTTCAACAATGGTTATAACCAATCTTATCTATCCCTATCTACTTTCTCTATTTTTAAATTTTTCTCAGAAATTATATCATTTCATCTATAAATAGTTCAGTTTATATCTAAAAAAGATAAGGACTGTCCATTTTTTACTCCCCCACAAAAGTCACCGAAGAAAACTTGATCAAACAAAACGGAGTTATTTATTAAGCCTTTGGCAAGGAAGAACCTCAACTTGACACAGTCTTGATAATGATTGAAAAGGGTGATGTTAGGGTAGGGTATTTTTAGGAATTTGGGGTGACTCAGCTGCTTTAAGATGGGTCTTGCATTGTGGGGAACTGGCAGCGATTGAGAAAATGTGAATAGTTTAGGGTTGGTGAACACTGGGAGACAATAGTCTTAACATGGCTAAACATCAGTATTTTCCAATTTTTTTGCTCTCCTGTTTAAGATAACAGTATAATATTTGGGAGATATCTCCCATATATTACCTCCCAAACCTTCATTATTTTATGTTACGGGTATAAATATGGAATTTATGTTATATATGGTGTTAGGTACTGACAAAGTTTTATTTTTTTTCTGTATGGCTATCCAGTTGTCCCCATATTAGTTATTAAAAAGACCATACTTGCTTCACTGCTCTTCAAAGCCATTTTTATTATAAATCAACTATCTGTATATACTTGGAACTGTTTCTGGGCTCTCTTACATTCCATTGGCCTATTTGTCATTTTTTTAAATCCCATCTTAGCTACAATGGCTTAATTACTCCACTATCTTAATTATGATAATTGTATAAGTCTTAATATCCAGTAGATCAAATCATTTTACCTTGTTTTTCTTCAAGAGGGTCTTAGCTATTTTTGACCCTTTGCATTTCAATATAAACTTTAGGATCAACTTGTCAAGTTCCACAAAAAGATACTGTTAGGATATTGATGGAAATTGCATTGTATTGTCAGATCAACTTTAGTATTTGAGTTGTCTCTTATTAATACTAATAATTCATTGGTGTGTGTTTTTGCAATATGAATATTTTATAGGCACATGTTTTAAGTTTATATGTTATATATCTGTCCTATACCCTAGGTATCCAGCATATTTTTTTAACATCTTTATTGGAGTATAATTGCTTTACAATGGTTTGTTAGTTTCTACTTTATATCAAAGTGAATCAGCTATACATATACATATATCCCCGTGCGTCTTGCGTCTCCCTCCCACCCTCCCTATTCTGCCCCTCTAGGTGGTCAAAAAGCACCGAGCTGATCTCCCTGTGCTATGCTGTTGCTTCCCACTAGCTATCTGTTTTACATTTGGTAGTGTATATATGTCCATGCCACTCTCTCACTTCAGCCCAGCTTACCCTTCCCCCTCCCCATATCCTCAAGTCCATTCTCTACATCTGCATCTTTATTCCTGTCCTGCCCCTATGTTCTTCAGAACCTTTTTTTTTTTAGATTCCATATATATATATTTGCATACAGTATTTGTTTTTCTCTTTCTGACTTACTTCACTCTGTATGACACACTCTATGTCCATTCACCTCCCTACAAGTAACTCAATTTCATTTCTTTTTATGACTGAGTAATATTCCATTGTATATATGGGCCACATCTTCTTTATCCATTCATCTGTCGATGGTCACTTAGGTTGCTTCCATGTCCTGGCTATTGTAAATAGAGCTGCAATGAACATTGTGGTACATGACTCTTTTTTTTTTTTTTAACATCTTTATTGGAGTATAATTGCTTTACAATGGTGTGTTAGTTTCTGCTTCACAACAAAATGAATCAGTTATATATATACATATGTTCCCATATCTCTTGCGTCTCCCACCCTCCCTATCCCACCCCTCCAGGCAGTCACAAAGCACCGAGCTGATCTCCCTGTGCTATGCGGCTGCTTCCCACTAGCTAGCTACCTTACGTTTGGTAGTGTATATATGTCCATGCCTCTCTCTCGCTTTGTCACAGCTTACCCTTCCCCCTCCCCATATCCTCAAGTCCATTCGCTAGTAGGTCTGGGTCTTTATTCCTGTCTTACCCCTAGGCTCTTCATGACATTTTTTTTTCTTAAATTCCATATATATGTGTTAGCATATGGTATTTGTCTCTCTCTTTCTGACTTACTTCACTCTGTATGACAGACTCTAAGTCTATCCACCTCATTACAAATAGTTCAATTTCGTTTCTTTTTATGGCTGAGTAATATTCCATTGTATATATGGGCCACATCTTCTTTATCCATTCATCCGATGATGGACACTTAGCTTGTTTCCATCTCTGGGCTATTGTAAATAGAGCTGCAATGAACATTTTGGCACATGACTCTTTTTGAATTATGATTTTCTCAGGGTATATGCCCAGTAGTGGGATTGCTGGGTCATATGGTAGCTCTATTTTTAGTTTTTTAAGGAACCTCCATACTGTTCTCCATAGTGGCTATATCAATTTACATTCCCACCAACAGTGCAAGAGAGTTCCCTTTTCTCCACACCCTCTCCGGCATTTCTTGTTTGTAGATTTTTTGATGATGGCCGTTCTGACTGGTGTGAGGTGATACCTCATTGTAGTTTTGATTTGCATTGCTCTAATGATTAGTGATGTCGAGCATCCTTTCATGTGTTTGTTGGCAATCTGTATATCTTCATTGGAGAAATGTCTATTTAGGTCTTCTACCCATTTTTGGATTGGGTTGTTTGTTTTTTTTGATATTGAGCTGCATGAGCTACTTGTAAATTTTGGAGATTAATCCTTTGTCAGTTGCTTCATTTGCAAATATTTTCTCCCATTCTGAGGGTTGTCTTTTCGTCTTGTTTATGGTTTCCTTTGCTGTGCAAAAGCTTTTAAGTTTCATTAGGTCCCATTTTTTTTTTTTATTTCCATTTCTCTTGGAGGTGGGTCAAAAAGGATCTTGCTGTGATGTATGTCAGAGAGTGTTCTGCCTATGTCTTCCTCTAAGAGTTTTATAGTGCCTGGCCTTACATTTAGGTCTTTAATCCATTTTGAGTTTTTTTTTGTGTATGGTGTTAGGGAGTGTTTTAATTTCATTCTTTTACATGTAGCTGTCCAGTTTTCCCAGCACCACTTATTGAAGAGGCTGTCTTTACTCCATTGTATATTCTTGCCTCCTTTATCAAAGATAAGGTGACCATATGTGCATGGGTTTATCTCTGGGCTTTCTCTCCTGTTCCATTGAACTGTATTTCTGGTTTTGTGCCAGTACCATACTGTCTTGATTACTGTAGCTTTGTAGTATAGTCTAAAGTCCAGGAGCCTGATTCAGCATATCTTTTATTGTGATAAAATATACATAACATAAAAGGTACCATTTTGGGACTCCCCTGGTGGTGCAGTGGTTAAGAATCCACCTGCCAATGCAGGGGACTCGGGTTCAAGCTCTGGCCCAAGAAGATCCCACATGCCACGGAGCAACTAAGCCCATGAGCCACAACTGCTGAGCCTGTGTGCCACAACTGTGGCCCAATACAGCTCTAGGTGCGCACCTAGAGCCCATGCTCCACAGCAAGAGAAGCCACCGCAATGAGAGGCCCACGCACCGTAACGAAGGGTAGCCCCAGCTCGCTGCAACTAGAGAAAGCCCACCTGCAGCAATGAAGACTCAATGCAGCCAAAAATAAATTTTAAAAAATGTTTTAACTTTTTTTTGTTTTGTTTTGGTTTTCTTTTTTGCGTTACTCAGGCCTCTCACCACTGTGGCCTCTCCCGTTGCGGAGCACAGGCTCTGGACGCGCAGGCTCAGCGGCCATGGCTCACGGGCCCAGCTGCTCCACGGCATGTGGGATCTTCCTGGACTGGGGCACGAACCCGTGTCCCCTGCATCGGCAGGTGGACTCTCAACCACTGTGCCACCAGGGAAACTCTTAACTGTTTTTAAGTATACAATTCAGTAGCATTAAATACATTCATAATGTTGTGCAACCATCACCACTATCCGTTTCCAGAACTTTTTCATCATCACAAACTGATTCTCTGTACCAATTAAGCAATAATTCCTCATTCCCCTCTTCTCTTGTCCATGGTAACCTCTATTTTCTGTCTCCATGAATTTGCCTATTATAAGTACCTCATATGAGTGGAATAATACAATATTTTTCCTTTTGTCTCTAGCTTATTTCGCTCAGCATGTTTTCAAGGTTCATCCATGTTACAGCATGTATCCTTTTTAAGACTAAGTCATACTCCATTGTATGTATAATACCACATTTTGCTTCTCTATTCATTTGTTAATAGACACTTGGGTTGTTTTCACCTTTTGGCTAGTGTGAATAATGCTGCTCTGAACATTGGTGCACAAATATTTGTTTGAATCCCTGCTTTCAATTCTTTTGGGTATATACCCAGAAGTGGAATTGCCGGATCATATGGTAATTCTGTTTAACAGTTTGGAAATGCCAGTTTTCCATAGTGGCTGCACTTTTTTACATTCCTACCAGTAATGCACAAGGGTTCCAATTTCTCCACATCTTTACCAACACTTATTTTCTGGTGTTTTGTTTGTTTGTTTTCACTTTATAATAGCCATCTTAGTGGGTGTAAAATGGTATCCCGCTGTGGTTTTGATTTGTATTTTCCTAATGGCTAGTGATCTTGAGCATCTTTTCATTTGCTTATCAGTTATTTGTATGTTGTCTTTTGAGAAATGTATATTCAAGTCCTTTGCTCCTTTTTGAATTGCGCTGTTTGCTTTTTTGTTGTTGAGTTGTACATGTTCTTTATATATCTTTATATATTCTGGATACTAATCCCTAACCAGATACTCTATGATTTGCAAATATTTTCTCTCATTCTGTAGGTTGTCCTTTCACTCTCTTGATAGTGTCCTTTGATGCACAAAAGTTTTCAGTTTTGATGAAGTCCAATTTATCTATTTTTCTTTTATTGCCTAAACTTTTGGTGTCATATCCAATAAATCATTGCTAAAATCAATGTTGTGAAGTTTTGTCTCTATGTTTTCTTCTTTTAGCTCTTATGATTAGGTGTTTGATCCTTTTTGAGTTAATTTTTGTATGTTATATAAGGTAAGGGTCTAATTTCATTCTTTTGCATGTGGATATCCAGTTTTCCCAGCACCATGGGAAAAGACTGTCCTTTCCCCATTGAATGGTCTTGGTGCCTTTGTCAATAATCATTTGACTATATATTCAAGAGATTATTTCTGGGCTCTCTATTCTATTCCTTGGTCTATGTCTGCCTTTATGCCAGTACCACACTTTTTTGATTATTGTATATATTTTTTGATTATTGTACTTTTGTAATAAGTTCTGAAATCAGGAAGTATGAATCTTCCAAACTTTTTCCTCTTTTTCAAGACAGTTTTGGCTAATTCAGGGTCCTTTGAGATTGCATGCGAATTTTAGGGTGGAATTTTCTATCTCTGCAAAAAACATTATTGGAATTTTGATAAGAATTGCTTTGAATCTGTAGATCACTTTAGCTAGTATTGATATCTTAACAATATTAAGTTTTCCAATCCATGCACATAGATGTCTTTCCATTTATGTCTTCTTTAATTTATTTTAGCAATGTCATATAGTTTTTAGTGTACAAGTTTTTTGCCTCCTTAGTCGAGGTTATTCCTCGACTATTCCTCGAATATTTTATTCTT